CCACCCAGGCCAACCTCCTCCAAGGCCTGCTGCCTCTAGAACCCAAAGTGAGCCCTACAGGGTGACCAGGGTCCTTGCCTCTCCCTGTGCTGGACACGTGTGCCTCGCTACTTTCTATAGCTACCCGGTGACTGGACGGTTGTTATGCCCATTGTACAGAACGGAAAAGTGAGGCCTGGAGGCCACAGTTTGGCTCAGGTGATTCAGGGTGTATGATGCTGTGTGATTCATTTCCAGGAAAGCCCGTCTCTAGAGCACGTTTTCCAGACTGCCTTCCAGGCCCCTCCTCACATTTTCTGCCCACAAACATGCCCTTTGCAGAAAACAGACATTATTCTGAGATGTTTTAAGACTGACTATCTGTGAAGTGATCCTCCTCTTGTCCAGCCCCGCCCTTCCAGCTTCCCTCCTCCCTCCTGCACCCCAAGAAACAGGCCCACTTTAGAATGACCCCATGGGAACTGCCTGCCTGTGTCCTACAGAGACCCCTCAGGACCCCTAAGCAAAGGCAGCGCCCTGTCCCTGTGAAAGACCCCAGCTGTCATCATGCTGCACTGGGTGACCTGTCTCCCCATGGAACCATGAAAGGCTCAGGAGCCTCTGAGCCTGGCAGAGGGTCCCACACTGAGCAGCCCTTGGAAACACCTGCTCCAGTCCACGGCCGACCACCATCTCCTAGCTTCCCTGCAATTACCCACGTGGGCCTCACTGTAAGTGCGCCATGCTCAGTCCGGGGCAAGTTTCCCTCACTGTGAGCACAGCAGTGCCAGGGCCCCCTGGGCACTGGGGGCACAAAAGCTACAGTCCTGAGGCTAGGCATGACGATCGACTCCCCACACCTTTGGGTTCTATCCTTACTGGAGATGAATTAGGAGGGATTAGCAATTTGCCAGTCTCTGTCTGGACTCAGGCGTGGCTTCTCGGTGTGATCTACACCGATCAGAGAGAAGCAGGCTAGAGCTTCCGCCAAGCCCGCACCAGTATACACTGCTTCCCATGGAGGCAACCCAGCCTCTGAGTCCTCGGGGGACCATCTGGAGATCCAATGTTTTGTCAAAATGACAGCGGTGGCTGCTGAGGATGAGGCCCCAGCCAAGCTTCTGTGAAGAGTAACCAGAAAAGCCCTGGAGTCTGATGGTCCTCCCTGCTCCCCTTCCAGGCACCCCAATTCCCCCCTGTGGAGCGGGTCAGCTGGGAGTGGTCCCCACTGTTCACAATCAGCTCTGGTTGAGAAGTGTCATCTCGCTGGCCACCAGCAAGGCAAGAAGGGGGTGGGGACAGGAGACAGGCTCCCTAGTGGCTGCATTGCTCACCTAGGGAAGATACAACCCGAGGAAGCCCAGGGAAAGTGAGGCCTTTCCCCATCCAGCCACCCTCCAGGGCCTGTCCTCAGATGCTTACCAAATGACTCCTAAAACCACTGGGCTGAAGAGACCCGGATTTTCCATGTGGCTTTTCAAAAGCCCAAAATGAAAACAGGAGATTGTAGCGGGAAACTGTCGATCAGTAACCAGCCATCAGGTGACAAGAGACACACTCTACTGTCATATCTGAGCTGTTCCTGACTTTGGCCAGTTTCTTCTCCAAGTGGGTGGATGGATGCCCACGGTCCTCAGAGCCTCCCCATCAGGCAGCAGACGCTGGCTCTTAGAAGGTGAGCTTTTAGAACTCTTGGAGCAGCGGCTTTCAGGATCAGATCGGCCCCCACCCAGTACGACAATAAAAAGTAAAAAGCCATCAGATCAGGGTATGGGGCAGAACTTTTCCATTGCAACCCTGGAACGGTCTCTATTTTGTAGATTTGGACAATGAATTCTGGAGTGTCACAAAACAATGCTGAATGACCATGAGCAAGGGCAATTTTATTCTATTGTTCTGTATCCTAGTCTACCTTATTACCCCACTAGCTGGCCCCCTCTCCATAAATCAATTCCACTTATGACCAACTTATGAAAACCATTTAGAGCGGCTTGGAGGTGGGGGCACATAAATTTTACAAAATATTATTTTAAATGGGAAAATCCTACTGTCTGCATTTTGGGGTGCAATCAATGTGATATTTTGCTATATGTATAAGATGTGAAATGAAGCCAGGCGCAGGTGGCTCACGCCTGCAATCCTAGCTACTCAGGAGGCAGAGATCAGGAGGATTGAGGTTCAAAGCCAGCCCTGGGCAAATAGTATGTGAGACACTATCTTGAAAAAAAAGAACCCAACACAAAAAAGGGCTGGTGGAGTGGTTCAAGAGGTAGAGTGACTGTCTAGCAAGTGTAAGGCCCTGAGTTCAAATCATACTGCCACCAAAAAAAAGAAAAAATTAAATCTAGAGTGTAAACCTACCTATAACTAGTTTATGGCGAGACATCTGAAATTTATCTATTTTGAAATGCAGTATACAGTTTTATTCACTATCATCATCCTGTTGTACAATGTATCTTAAAACATTTTCCTCCTGTCTACCAGAAATGTTGTACCTTCTGGCCAGTGGTTCCTCATTCCTTTCACTGGCATCCTGTCTGTGACCAACTGCCACTCTATTCTCTACTTCTGTGAGCTCACTTTCTTAGATTTCATATGTGAGTGAGGTTGTGCAGTAGGAGTCATCTATGCCTGGCTTATTTCACTGAGCATAACATCTTCCATGTTCACCCATGTTGTTGCAAATGACAGGACTTCCTTTTTTAAGGCTGAATAGTATTCCACTGTGCATATATGCCCTATCACATGAGTGGATGCACGTTGTAGGTTGCATCCATTTATGGCTGTGACAAATAAGGCTGTTGTGACATGGGAGCACAGGTGTCATGCTGACATATTGACTTCAATTACTGGGGTCTACATCGAGAAGCAGGATTGCTGGACCATATGGCATTTCTATTTTTAGGTTTTCTGGGACCCTTCATAGTGTTTTCCATAATGGTTTTACTAATTTAAATTCCCATCAGCAATATTCAAGAGTTCCCTCTTCTCTGCATCCTCACCAACATATGTTACTGCAAAAGTCTTTCCTCAAAAGGCTCATAGGTCAAAGGCGTGGTCCCCAGTTGGTGACAATATTGAGAAGTGACAGGAAAATGAGGACGCATACCTCATCAGTGTGTTAATCCATTGATGGGTGGGGCCGGGTTGGAGGCAGTGGGTCACTGGTGCGTGCCTTGTCTCTGGCTCATTCCTGTCTTGCCCTCTGCTTCCTGGCCGCTGTGAGGGGAGCAGCTCCATTCCACACCACCCTCTCCACCATGGTGCTCTGCCTCACCACAGGCCCACAGCGATGGGACCAAGCAACACAGCCTTCAACCTCAGAAACTGTGAGCCCCTAAAATAAGTCTTTTATCTTTGAAACTGTTTTTATCAGCTATTCTTCAGGGCAATGAAAATGAACACAAAACAATAAAACAAACTGTGGCTGACTACAGATATACACAATTATAAGAAAAGACTTATCTATGTCCTTTAGAAAGTGCCACAGTTTAATGAGAACAAGGCAAAGGAGTGACACAATTGAGTGGGTCACCAAAGTCACTCGGGCTGTCACTCTCCCGTGGTGTGGAGAAGAGTGCCCTCACAGGACACTGTCTACACACCAAACTGTTTTACAAAAGAAATGCTACAAAACAATGCCTCGGCGTCAAAAGGGCAATTAAGAGCTCATATTTACTGAGCAAAAGAACCTACTGAGTAGATTAAGTCCAACAGAAATAACTGAAAAGTAAAGATGACACACGAGCAGGAGAGGGACACAGGGGGACAAGAGCCCCGAAGCACATGGAGATGACCCAGCTCCATCCTGGCAGTTGGTGTTTCTGCTGTGATCACACCCTGGGGGTGAGGACTCTTAGTCTGTGGGTTCTGGAAGGAAGTGGGTGGCTGTAGCCTCAGTCCCAGGATGGAAAGAGTTAACCCCAAAGCCAGGGAACTGCAAAGTGAAACTTTAACCACCCCGTCCCTTAGTAAGCCTCAGAGGAGGCTGAGGAGGCTGAGTGGTCTGGCTGTTTCCACTGGGTTCAGATATGCCAACAAGGACATTCTGGTTTTTGTGCAGAAGTTTCCTGTTTGTGGGCAGAGCTGGGTCTGACCACAGGGCTGGTAGTTGGGCTCTCAGGGCCTTGGGCCCCCAGTGACTCAGAGTGGAAGGTCAAGAGCACAGCCCCACACCTGTGTCCTGAGGGCAGCAACCAATAAGCCCAAGAGCAAGGGTGCTGGGGACCACTGAAGGTCACTCAGAAGTGACCCCCCCAATGCCCACGGGGACACTGTGTGAGCACAGCAGGGGCCTATGTCACTACAGGGGAATAGCCCGAGACAGTGCTGTTGGTAGGCTCACAGGTTTTTATGAGAGACAAGAAGAACCTTCCAGAACCTGCCCGGACCTTAGCAGAGGAGGCCCTGGCTAGGAGCAGATGCTTGCTTTGTCATCCTCCCATGAACTCTGCAATATGACTTCCTCCTTTCTGGTCTACTGCATGGAGGGGTCTGGTACCAAGTGTACCTGAAAGGAGACTCTCTGATCTTCTGACAAGAGCCCGGCAGGAAGTACGCTTTGTGGAATTCTGCCTACCCAGACGTGTGTGTCCCCACACGGCCACCTCACAACATTGCAAGGGATGACAAAAACCAAGACACCGACATGGGAGTGGGCTAACTGTTCTCAAGCACCCTGAGGACTCAGCCTCAGGGAAAAGGTGACACAATTTGCCCGGACTGAGTTCCATGAAGACATGTCTCATGTGTCACAGTTCATAAATAAGCTGACTCGTTCCCAAGCCTCTTTAGTAAAAGGTTTCACAGAGAAGGGACAGAAGCTCCAGTGGGAAGATAGTCAGTGGCGCGAGAAGTAGTCACAGCTCAAGGATGTACAGGATGCAGGTATCTCATGGGAATGACTTGGATCCTAGCAGTGGAACCTTCTAGAACATGCAAGGCCAATCTTTTCAGCGACTAGCAGAAGCAGAGGAGACTCGAGCACACACACCCCAACAGGGGAGGCCGTGCAGACTTACTTTGCAGTAGTTTCTTCATCGTACTTGGTTTTCAGGTCAAATAATTCTGTTCGAGTTTTTTCCAGGGCTAAAAGGTAAGGACAGAAAAGCAGGATATAAGAGGCTAGTTGTTTAAATTAAAGAGGGAAAGGTATACAATATGTTCTATTTCCAAATGGGGGAAGAAGGCAAAAGTACAAAGGATGGAACAGAAAATCCATGTCAACCCAAGCACCTCCTAAGAGAGCGACCATTCACAGTTTGCTGCTTCAATTTCCTGCTTTTAAATAGCTTTTATCATTTAGAAATATTTCTGTACGTAATTGCATATAAAGTCCTGCCCTCTGCAATGTTTCTGTCAGTGATGGCATTCTAAGACTGTAACGGAGCTGAATGGCCCAGTGACATCATGGATGTCTCAATGTCTTAGTGCAAAGCATCACCCTCGAGTCTGTGGCCACGCTGGTGTAAACAAGCCTACTGTGACAGCAGCTGTGTAAAAATGTAGCAATACAGTTACCTATGATAAATGACACATGATAAATGACAAAAAAACGACTGTTCCTGGTTTATGTGATATTATACTTTTAATTCTTATTTTAAGATGTCTCCTACTTACTAAAAAAACCCGTTTACTATAAAACAGCGTGTCTTGCGGGGCGGGCAGTAGCCTGGCTGGCTACTGTTTACTAGGTCTAATGGCTGCCTCAGGAAGTGCACTGAAGGGTCAGGTGTGGTGGCACACACCAGTAATCCCAGCACTTAGGAGGAGAAGGCAAGAAGATGGCGAGTCTGAGTGACTGGCCCCTACCATCAATGTTTGTGTGAAGTACATGTTCACACCACGACAAAAATTGCCTGATGGCACAGTTCTCCAAACGTGTCTCCATCAGTAAGTGATGTGTGTGTATATATAATGTGTGCATATCTATCTCTGTCTGTCTGTCTGTCTATCTATATCTACCTACCCACCTAGGTAGATAGAGATACCATCCATCCATCTCCCCTCCCCATAAATGAAATATTTTCTGAGACTCTCCCTCCTCCCTTAGCAGTATGGATGGACATCTGACCATGTCGATAATGGTAAAAATTAGTTCTGCTCTCAGGTTACTTAGAAGTCAAGCTACTGAGGAAAGCGCTCGGCATTCTCCTGTTCCAAAAACCACACGTTGGCCTCCCAAGAGGCAATTCGTATTCACATCAGGACTGTGACCATTTTCCTGTCCCCTCACCAACACCGGTATTATTAAAACAACAAAACAGACAAAAAACCCTCTGCCAGTCTGATGGGAGAACAATCTTTCACTGATTTAATTTGCATCTTGCTGATGGTTAAAAACGCTTAGCATTTTTTCTCATGCGTATGAACCATTCACCATTTACATTTCTTCTGGGGACTACCTGTTCCCATCCTCCACCCACTGGAATCTCTGTTTTCATGGATTTGTAGGTGGTTCCTGTGTGAGTGTGGGGTGCTGGGGATGGAACCCAGGGCCTCGCACCTGCTAGGCAAGTGCCCCACACTGAACCACAGCCCTATCCTAGTCTTTCGTATTTTTTTTTGAAAAGATTCATATTTCTGTAAAATTAGTTATGATTATTTTCTACCCTTCTGTCATTTATGTTTAACTTAGATTAAGTCTTCTAAGGCTTTTTCCCCCCATTTAAATGAAAGAGACAGTGCTTCTTTCTTTTCAGAAAAAAATAGAAAAGAAAAAGAAAAAAATCCTCAGTTAAAAAGAAAGCGCAAACTTTAGAATAACCTTTTTTGGTATCTTTTAAAATTTCCAAGGTTTTGCTATTACTGTTCTTCTTGACTTTACTCAGGGTAGAAGCAAGTTTCTTTTCTATCTTTTTTTTTTTCTCCCTATTATTGTTCCAAATGAAATGTCAGTCCTTGACAGTTTGGTGATTTAGACGTGTTTGCGGGAAAGAAGAGCAGGAAGGAGGGTGACGGCTCTGGGAAGTGATGGTGCTAGCACCGTCCTCCCACCTCCCCCTCAACAACTCAGTGCGGTGACTAAGGAAGTCAGGGGAGCAGCCGGGGGACTCGGGAGGAGCTAAGAGTTCTGGGGCCTGGGGTCCTGGGTCCTGCAGGCTGCAGAGGGGTGACAGGTGGGCCACCAAGTGCACTCTCCCCCTTTGGCACGACCAGGATGAAAAGTGTCAAACCTGTTTGCAGAGTCTGAAGTTTGTGTTCTGCTTCCTCCAGCTTTGAGGTGGTGGACATCTGTGTCTCCTGCAGCTTTCTGAAAAACGAAGAGAATGAAGCCAAATTGGTCAGCTTGTTTATGCACCCAGACGCATTGTGTGTCTTGGAGCTGTGCCCATGAGCTTGCTTCTTGGGGAGGCACAGCTGGCGACAGGCACACAATCGACTGTCGCTCTGACGCCGTGTGCCCTCCAATGCCAGGGGGTCTTCTGGGGCATCGCCACACCCCAACCTTGCAACTGTGTGTTAATTGACAAAGTGTGCATCCTGCAGGACTTGACATGTGCGAATTGGTGAGAGAGGTCATCCTAAACGGAACTTGTTTTGGAGATGCCAGATAGTAAAAAGGTAAAAAAATTACCATCATCACACACCCATTGTTTTCTCTCAAGTGAGTCTGAGAAGAACGATACATTTACATTCTGCTGACACAAAGGAAGAATTTGTTGCATTGAAGGATGTGCTAAGGAGATGTGACAGCTGTCCCATCTCAGCTATAATGGAACCAAATTCGCGCACAGTACTGAGCACAGAGCTTCTGAACGTGCAGGCTCCATCCCATGGTTCCCTTTTCCCATGCTCTCCAAATGAATTTCCTGTCAATAAATAGCATTCCTTCATCCTAATCTGCAGAAGATCACCAAAAATAAGTTCATTATTTTTATATCGTAAGCATATAACACACACTGTCAACGTAGCCAACCTAGGAATGCAGAAAAGGAGAGAGGACACAGCTTAATAAAAACCACCCAAATTTCCTTTGGAAAAGCACTGCCACTATCTTCATGTATTTCAGTGATAAAATTAAAATAAACAAACATCTTAAGGATGTCCGATTATATATGCTCAGAGTTTGGGAAAAAATCAAAATGTTACAAGAGGATGAAGAGAAAGCATTTTTCTTCCTTGGCTCCTTTTAAAGTGCGGATAGTTTTTACTTTGTGCTGCCGCTTTGTAACGTGTTATGTAATAAGTAACACACTGCAGAAACCTGCAAACTAATATGCACACTGCTGCAGTGAGATAAAGATAATATGTAACATATTTCAGGAACGTGTCTCTATGTAACTGATTCCTGGGTAAACTGATCGTAAGAGCTACCGTGTAACAGAAAGTCCTTCTCCCCCTCAATGCAAAGGAGATCACAGCACACATTACAGTTTGCAATTTGCATTTTCATTTACTTCCATGTTTGGGAAACTCTTTGCTCCAGCAATGTATAGTTATTCCTTTTTTTTTTTTTTTTTGCGGTACTGGGATTTGAATTCAGGACCTGCACCTTAAGCCACTCCACCGGCCCTTTTTGTTTTTGAGATAGGGTCTTGTGAACTATTTGCCTCAGCTGGCTTCGAACCATGATTCTGCTGCTCTCTGCCTCTTAAATAGCTGGGATTAAGGTGTGAGCCACTAGCGCTGGGCCCTCATTCTTACTAGATCACAAATTCAAGTCTCCATTGACACTTAGATTGTGTATAGTTTCTGCTAAACATTTCCTCGATGATCATTACATAGGTATTCTTGTATAATTCTGAGATAAATCTGTTGGATAAAATTCTAATGGAGGAATTATAAAGGTCAAAGGTGTTTTTTTGTTCTGATAGATATTGAGAAACTTCCCAATAAAAAAACCTAACCCATTTAAACTCTGGTCAACAATATGTGAGAGTGTTTTTATATACACTGTGTTTTATATACACTGGATAAAAATCAAGCCTTATTTTACTGCCGAGTAAAGCTGAGTACTTCTCTGTATGAATGACTTATCTCTTTTGATAGCCTTTTTAGTTTTCTTTTTGGGGGGAGGGCAATACTGGGGTTTGAACTCAGGGCCTTGCACTTGCTAGGCAGGCACTGTACCACTTGAGCCTCTGCGCCAATCCCTTTTTGTGTTGCGTTTTTCAAGATAAGAGTTTTGTGAACTATTTGCCTGGCTGGCTTCAAACCACCATCCTCCTGATCTCTGCCTCCTGAGTAGCTAGCTGGGATTACAGACGTGAGCCACTGGCACCCAACTCTTAGCCCACTTTTGGTAGAGTTTACTTTTTTTCTTACTCATTTCTAAGAGCTTTTTGCATATAAAGAAAATTGGGCCTATGTCTTATAGAGCAAATATTTCTTCCCAGTTTGATGTTTTAAAAATTTATTTGCTTTCAAAAAAAATCTATTCTAAATTTTAGATGGTCATATTTATATAACTTAGAAATCTTAAATACTAAGACTTCTCTACTTCAGAACTATAAAAAACTATGCACTCACATTTTCTTGCAGTGGGTATGTGATTTAATTTTTCATTTATTTATTTTATTTATTTGAACTCAGGGCTTTGTGCTTGCAAAACAGGTGCTCTACCACTTGAGCCATGCCTCCAGTCCTTAATTGTTTAATATTTAAATTCTAGGTCTAGCTCAATTTTTTTCTTTTTTAGTTTTTCTTTTATAACTGAATTTTTTTGTGTGTAAATAATGAGGTAATAAAGCTCTAGCTTTATCCCCTCCCCCAATAGTCAGTTGTTTGTATCTGTCAATAGTATTAATTCTTTCCCTGTGTAAGTTTATTTCCATGCTTCTGAAATTCAGGAGTGTGCTGCACTCATAGTGTACGTGATTTTGTAAACTACATTTCCTATTTCTACTATGCTGGATCTTTTGCTCAGGTTTTGTGTGAATTCCACTTAACGGTTGTTTTCACGGCTGTATAGTGCTCCTGTAGGGATGGCTTATCTTTCACTTAGGCATTTCTTCTGGATGGGCATTTAGATTGCTTGCATTTTCCCACCATGGTGGATAACAGGAAGAGAAAATTATCTGGGCACAAAGTGCTTACGTAAGGGACATTTCCATTGGGCTAATTCCACACCAGCAGGGTCGAGGATCTGCACATCTTCTAGAACCCTGCAGGCCTCACCCTGTCATGCTTTCCAGGCAGGATAGGCAGCCCCCAGGGGCTGGCCTTGGCTCCCGCAGTGATGGGGTGGGCTTGGTCTGGAGTCCCACAGTCCTGCCTCTGGGCCCGATGAGTGGCAACAGCTCAAGCAGGTCCCTAACCTGTGGCTCGTTTCTCCTGCTGCAGCTTTGTCCTGGGGGCACTGACAGTGCTGGCAAAGGCCTGAGGCTGACTGCCTGCAGGAGAGCAGAAGCTGGTGTTTTCTTTCTTTGCACAAATGAGGCTGGCTTCATGGTTCCACTAAGAGGCCCTTGTGAGACACCCAGATGTGTTTTTCCCAAGCATGCTAGCCACTTGCTCTGTGACTTAGATACCCAAGATCTTTACGGAGCCCATCTCATCAGGGTCTAAGCTGTGGTGTACGAAGTCAGCGAGAGACCCCGCAACCAAGTCCCACAGTAACCACGACCAAACCGGACCCTGTACCTGACTAAATCAGCGTCTTCTGCTAACGGATATACACATTTCTTCATGCTGGCACTAACCAGAGGGTTTTTTTTTCTTTTGAGACAGGGTCTTGCTATGTTCAGGTTGGCCTGGAACTTGCTATGTAGCCTAGGGTAGCCTCGAACCTGTAAAATCACAGGCCTGCTTCAGCCTCCCAATTGCAGGGATTACAGGTGTGTACCACTATACTCAGCTTAACAAAGGGTTTTTTTTTTAATTTGATAAACACAGGTAGAATTGGCAAGCCCGAGTCCTTATAGCTTTTACTATATAGTTAGTTACATCTAACTTTCATAAAATCATGACATTGGTGGAAAACCAACCTATTTATGGAGAATATTTTGGGTAAACTGAGTCGTCAGAAATCCAGAAGTCCCATCAGCTGAGTGGAATGTCCACTCAGTCAAAGTGAGTGAAAGTGTGCCTCATCTGAGACACGTGGGGCCACAAAATTTCCAGACTTTGTATTTTGAAGTATTTGCATAGACTTTACTGTGTGAGGATTAGGATCTGAAAATGTGCAGTTTCAAATGCTCCAAAAATCCTTCGGGGTTTTTTTGTTTTGTTTTTTGTGAAGCCAGGGTCTCATACATGCTAAGTATACGCTCTACAACTGAGCTTCCTCCCCAGCCACACAAATCCTTAACTTTCTGAGTTTCTTGGCAGAGGACCTGTCCTCTCTCATGGATGCACTGCACTTGGGATCTCACAAAGGACAGGTCAAGAATCACTGTCACTTTATTATTTTATTTATTTGTTTATTTTGTTCACTGTGACTTTAAAAGCAAAATTTTTCCTGAGCGTCCTGGGGGGTTTTATTGTCTCCCTGGGCTAATGTCACAGCAGCACTCACAGGTTCGACGCTTATGTCACTGTGGGAGCCCCTGGAGCCCCTGGAGCCCCGCTCACCTCTCCTTCTCCGCAAAGTCATTTTGCAGCTTCTGTTCCTTCTCAAGAGCAATTGTCTCAGCCTGGCTCTTCAGGGTCTGTTCGTATTCTCGAATTTTCTCTTTAAGTGCTTTTATGGTGACCTCTGCAAAAACAAAAGAGAGAGAACCCAACTGTAAGAGAAGCGGTGTCTGTGCGGCTGTGGGAACCAGGCTTTGTAAGCTGGTGAGATCGGTTTGCCCACGCCGATGCAAAGTCCATAGTAGTGAGTCCCTTTACCCTCTCCGTACTGATGCGAACTTGCAATGATGCTCAGGCTGCAGGGCTCAATGGGGTTTGCTGGGAAGGAGTGCTGTGACTTCTCAAGCACACTTCAAAAAAAAAAGGGCGGGGGAGGTACACTGAGTGCCGGTGCTCACGCCTGTAATCCCAGCTACTCAGGAGGCAGAGATCAGGAGGATCGAGGTTCAAAGCCAGCGTGGGCAAATAGTTCATGAGACCCTATCTTGAAAAAACCCTTATCACAAAAAAAGGCTGGTGGAATAGCTCAAGGTGTAGGCCCTGAGTTCAAGCCCCAGTATCACCCCCACAAAAAAAAGGAAAAAAAAAAAAAAGTGTGTGTGAGGGAACGAACGGTACCATATAATATTGGTAAGATTTACTGGTGAGTCTAAATTAGTTCTCTATTCAGGGAAGATTAACAAAGTTCTAGCGCAGGTCTGAGGACTTTCTTACAAAGAAAATGGTCTGTTACAGTGTGCACGCACATTTTGGAAGCAGAGTCAGGCCAGTCTGCAGACTTTGCCGGCCACAGGGCCAGCGTTGCTGTTTCACACAGGTCAGAAATACGGTGTTGGGTGGCTGAGTGCCGTCTTCTCAGCTCCTCACCCAGCCTGGGTGTCGGGGAACCCTGTCCACAGGCTCAGGTAGATGTGGGCCCCATGAGTAGACGATGTAGGACCTGGGGGAGGGCACTCTGGTGGCTGGTAGCCTGGGAGTGCTCTAGAGAGGAGGGTGAGAGCCAGGGGCTTGGCAGCCACACTGGGCCACGAGGGAACCCTACAGTGCTCAGTGCTCTGTGGCAAAGGGTCCCCCAGGAGGCAGGGCCACCCTTGGTCAGCCTGGGCTGACCCAGAGAGTTCTCAGGAGTGGCTCCCCCGCTCACTGCACTTATACACCAGTCACCAATTGCCCGAACTGGGACCACCAAAGTAGACGGAGTCAGTGGAGCACAGTCCTGATTCGGACCTAAGCCACCTGTCCCCTCCTACAGTCACCTTTACCTCGTTCTGCTCGCCCTGTGATGCATTACCCGCTGCCACAGTGGGTGCTCAGGAAAGACTTGAGTTGGAATGAATGGAGTTATTGGGGCTTGACAGGCCAGGTGAGGCCAGACTGGGCTAGTGGCTTGGGCTGCCAGCTCCCAACCAGGCCAGTGAATATGCACACACTCCCATGGACACTTACGGGCCCAGGCAGGAGCAAGTCAGCGGGGTGTGCTGAGTGTCTTCTGTGTCCCTCTGGTTTAATCCTACAATAGTCCTGTATGGCACGTGAAGAACTATGAATGATGAACCCCAGAGGCTCACAGCCTTGGGAGGCAATAAGGGATGCCAACCAGGTCTGCCTGCCTCTGGGGGGGAGAACATCCCACACTCAGGACAGACAGGCCCAGCAGCTGTGCAACTAGCAATGAGGCACTGGACACACAGGGCAAAGGCAGGGAAGATTCCCACAGCCCTGGGGGGTCCCACCTCCACAGTCCTCTGACAGCACCAACTCACCAAAACCAGATGCCAGAGGTCACTGAAGGAGAAAATAAGGACACTCCTGCTAGGTAGTGGCCTTATGCAATCAGAGCTGTGCACATACAGTTATCTTTCACTTGGGTACTGGGGTGATTTTGAAAAAAACAAGGCCTACTGGTAGTTGTCACATAGCAGAGAAGGTGTCAAAGGCTTTCGCTTAATAAGCCTGACACTTCTCCTTCAAGCAGGACAAAGTTGTCCCTTTGGGTCTCAAAGGGCTCTGTGTAAATCCAGACTGAAGTGGGGTCTGAGTTGGCTCTGGCTCCCCAACCTGGCTCTCATGTCCCCCAGGTCCAGCAAGGAGGCATCAATGGCTGAGGGAGGTGTCTAAGACCTCTGAGGGCTCTCTGGGGCCTGCTGTCCTCACACCCAGGCCTGCCTGTGTGTCCCTTCAGTGTTTCCCCATCATCCCAGTGTCTTTGAACACCTTCCCATGTACAATAAAAACCCTACGTGGTTATTGTGTAGAGGAAAAATTTGACACTCCTCCTCCCGAGTGTGTCTCCAGCATCTCGAAGTCAAAGGGTGCATTTTACAATCCTCTAGACAGGTTGCAGGGAAGACCAAGCAGAGCAGATGGCAGAGTAGCTGGCACTGTCTTCTCCCTGACTCCTCACTGCGTCCCCACACAGGCTAAACGAGGACTTGGGGGTTGGCTGGAAAACTTGTAGGCTGTCAGATGGAGCTGTGAGTTTTCCTCAAGTCAAGGTAGCCAGGAGGCCATGGGGTTCTCAGCACCCCTGAGTTTCTTGGGTGTAGGACAGATTTCTTTGTTCCTCCCAGACAGGAAAAGCCAGGCCACCTCTGCCCTCTCTGCTGACGCTGGGCAGCCACACTGAGAGAGAGACTGTTTTCTTTCACGAGATTCCTAATAGGTGGGGCTGACAGGGGAAGAAGGCAGCACACAGCCTGCTAGGATGCGTCTCGTCTGGAGTCTTAATGGATCGGCAGCAATTATTAAATGACTTACTGTGTGTGACCCTTTGATCATGAGCTGGCTCTCTGACAGGTGTCGCCTGGAGGCAACACATCACTCTTTGAAAAAGGCAGCTCCGATCACGTGGTAGTGCAAGGAGTTTTCAAAGAATCCAGATCAGCCTCCACGGAGGGCAATAAAAACCCTACGTGGTTATTGTGCAGAGGAAAAATTTGACTTCTAAACAGCTAAGTATTATCATTACTTTCTCTAACCATTCTGCTCCTTGCCCCACCCTGGCTTCATGACGAGGTAGCAATTAGAGCTGGTCCCACAGTATGGGGAAGGCAAATAAATGAATGAATGAATGAATGAATGAATAAATGAAAGAGAAGGCAAAGCAAGGCACGCAGTTTTCCACCAACCTTGATTTTTCACTTCAGCAAATTCCTTATTGTATTCTTCAAGTGTTTCCCTAAGTTTCTGGTTCTCCGTTTCGATGTCATGCAAGCGTTGCACTTTGAGCTGCAGCTGCTGCCCGAGGTCCAGGGCTGGCACGGGATCTGCAGGACAAGGACAGCACATGGCAGTCCACCCTGTCCCCAAACCCTCACCCAGGTGCAGGCTTGGAGTGGGCCTTGTGCACCCAGGAAGTCACCTCCTGCAGACATGCCAGGATCCCTGGCTGGAAGGCACCCATCCCAGGATCCTCCATGGGTGAAAACGGGGTGCAAACGGCCCTGGGAGTCATTGGGAACTGCCACCTCTCTGGTGTGGGGTCGTGGTTTTCATTCTTATGATCTGCTAGGAAGAGAAAGCTCGAGAGCACCTTATTCCTAGGCTGTCCTTGGAGGGTGGCCGGTCTGTGGACAGCTGCCTAGTCTCAAGTCCGTGAACTGGGGAGTGGCCCAGATTGCAGAAGCTCGAGATGGACATTTTGTCATTAGAGCCTCCCGGTGACATGGGAAAGAGACATGAGACAGAAGTGAAACTAAGGCTCAGGGAAGCAGAGGGACTGGGCCAAGTTTCCCTGGCTGGTTAGTGGGCACAGACAGGCAGTGCCAAGCCTGCTGGCTCTGTGTGCCCATGCTCCACAACCCGGAAGGCCAGCTCATGGAGAAAGCAAAGACAGCTTCGGCTTTCTAAGGCCACTGCCATCCAAATGTACTGCTGAAAGGTGCTCAGGGTCGGGGGGGAAGCTACCGATCCCAGTGCTGGAGAAGCCTAGAGAGGCTCAGCCCCATTTCTGCCAGTGACCAGCCAGCCAGCAGGCCACCAAGCTCTTGATAATAATATGAAGAACAGAACAACACCTGGGTCTGTCCTTTGAGATCTTGTGACCAATAGAATGTTATACAGATGGACACCAACACTGTCCATCAGATTTACTTAACACTGGATTTTTTTGTTTTTTGGTGACACGGACTTGAACTCAGGGCCTCATGCTTCCTAGACAAGAGCTCTACCACTTAAGCCATACCCCAGATCTTTTCCACTTTAGTTTAGGGTGTCTCGCTTTTGTCCAGGCCGACCTCAGAGTGAAATATTACTACCTCTGTCTTAGAGTAGCTGGGACTACAGGCCTGCACCACCATGCCCAGCCCTTTACCAATGGATTTGAATCCAAAATTAGAGATGACAGTTGTGCTATTTACAGAACTGCTGACTCTTGGTTTCTAGCTTCACCATGAATTCAGCACAAGATGGACATTCAGTGTTTTTCTGGATAAGGTGGATCTTCATTTTCTTTCTGTTAGCTATGAAGCAATTACAAACCCACCTAGTGGGCACCAGAGGGGCACTTCCTCTGGGATGCTCAGGCTCTGTCAGACTAGAAGCATACCTCCGTCTACCAGGCTTAGAAGGGTTATTGACTATATTTCTGGCAGGGGCGCCAGCCTCTTGGGAGAAAGCAGTAGAGATTTAGTCTTCTCTCCAGGAATGCTAAACACCACGCATGGTGGATCAACACGGGTATATATTCAAGAACTCGCTTAATTTCCCAATGCCAGTCATTAATTTTTCAGACCACCCTTGGTTCCGGGAAACGAGGGCTGGGTCCACCAGAAGCCAGGAGCCAGGAGCTCTCCAAGATGCCAGAGTCTGGGCAGAGTTTACAAAAGGCGACACTGGGTATGCTGGGCTCCAGTCTGTAAGCCCTGAGAGCCAGGGCTTAATGCCAACACTGTCCATCATCTGAGACCCTGGCTGCTGGGCAGTTATCCTGCCTGTGTATACAGTCTCTGGCTGCATCAGTTTCTCATCCATGGCTTTTCATTATTATTTTAATCAGCATTAAAATATTTATGCTAAACCAGATTTCAAAAGCTATTTTGGGGAGATGATCCTTCTAAGCATAAGAAGTAATGACAAGAAAAATGGAATTCTCAAAACATTTCAGGTGCAGTTTGGTCGGTTTTTCCTTCCTTCTTTCTTGCCTTCCTTCCTTCCTCCCTTCTTCCCTCCTTTCTTTTTTTAAATCTTGGTTTTTCTTTCCTCCAGCATCTTCCTTCCTTCCTTCCTTCCTTCCTTCCTTCCTCCTTCCTTCCTTCCTTCCTTCCTCCCTCCCTCCCTCCCTCCCTTCCTCCCTCCCTCCCTCCCTTTTTTAATTTTGGTTTTTCTTTCCTCCAGCATCTTTCCCGGAAACCTTCACACTGGGCAAGTGGTCTGAAGAAAATGAGAAATGCCCAGAGCTTCTTTCACACAGAACTACAATTTGAACTTCATCCAGAGGCCAGGAAAGGAGAGGAAGGAAAGAGAGCCACTGCGCTTAGAAAATTCTGTAAGCATGCGCTCATGTCAGCTTTCTGGCACAACTAATAGTACCAATTATATGTATATATTTGAGAACGAAGCTGGTATTCTGCACTAGAATTCCTGTCAATATTTTCTGCTCATTCCTTTTTAAAAGGCCAGAACCCACTCTGTCTGTTTTGGATGAAAAAAAAAAAAAGCTTCCCTTGGGTGGTTCAGCAAGGAACCCAGTGACATATTAAAAAACAACACGCACATTATCAAGTGAACAGTAACTAGGCCTTCAGACAAATTTTCAAAGTGTTGCACGGTAAATGAAAATGGTGCCAATCTTCTAATTATTCATTATGGCATCCATATTTAATTTAACCCGATTAAAGGTTAATGGCGAAGTGGCAAAACTGGTCGTAGCACGAGGAGTGAACTGACTGTTCAAACAAATCCAAGCTCTCCAGCTCCAACTCCGCACGGCGCAGTTGAAAGACGATGCTGACAGCATCTGAACAGTGTTTTGGGATATGTAAAAGGCGCTGGTAAAGTAGCATTTAGGCTTAATTTTTATTACTTGTATTAAAGGAACAGCTAATTACCACACGACAATATAATGGTTCGAGCATGTTTGGGCCAAAGACCAAAGCAATGAATTGGGCATGCCAAACCCCAGCCTGGGTGTCAATCTGGAGAAATCACAGCTTTTTGTCTTGTTAATGACTTTCAGTGCTATTTAAACCTCATGCCAGCATTGTTAGGTCCTAGCTGCATGGCAGAAGCCTCACCCATGTGTGGAAGAGGCACACAGCAGGCACTGTACCCCACCTTCCTGGCCTCCTCCAATCCGGCCTCCTCATTCACCCAAAGTGACCAATCTGCAGTGTTTTCTGATCGTGTAATAATTAATTCCTAAGCAGAGTGGCTCATTACGCCACTCAAGACCCAGAGAGCATAATTTAACAAACGATGATAATACCACCAAACTCTACTTATTCAGCACCCTTTTGCTGAGTACAAGTGACAATAATTAAAGCCATCAAAACAGGGGCTGGGGGACAGCACTCACTCTGTGATGTGTCAGGCCTGGCACCTCACCCAGGGGCAGGGAGAGGAAGGAAGTCAGCCAGGCAAAACAGGTATACAAAACTCTAATTAAGAACACTCTTTCCGAACCAGCAGCCAACTCAATTATACTGTCTCTTCAAGTACTAATTTAACGTGGATTTCCTAAGTGACTCTCTGCTCTGGGAAAGGCCTGGGGTTAGGCACTGAGGGACACTTGGCCAAGTCAGCAGGAGTCAGCCTGGAAGGAGAGGCTAAGCCAGGTATAGCAAATAAAACATAGGGCAGAGAGGCGGGGGGGAGGGGAGACACGCACAGACGGCTCCCAGACACAGCTACAGGCCAAGCAAGGCTTTTTTTCCTTCTTTTTAATTAAAAGGAAGGGGTATCACTTGAGTCATCCCACTAATGGACACACAGAATTTGGACCCATGGAGACTGAGGAGGGGTGGAGGAGACCCAGCACCACGGAGTGCCGGGCACAGCTAAAAGAACAGCTTAGCTCCCCTGCCAGCAGCCAGCACACACATTTGATGACATCAGGGCCATTCTAGGTGCTGAGGGGACATGGTGGTGAATAAGACAGACTTGTTCTCAAAGTGTCACGGGGGCCGGGAGTATAGCTCAGAGTGCACCTAACGTATGGAAGGCCCTGGGTTCAATCCACAGCACTGGGAGGAAAAAAAAGCCAGGTGCTATTGTCTCAGGCCTGCAATCCCAGCTACTCAGGAGGCAGAGATCAGGAGGATCACAGTTCGAAGACAGCCCTGGGAAAACAGTTCAAGAGAGCCTATCTTGAAAAACATAGTGGGTGAGCTGGGGTGAAGTGCTACGAGGAAAAGAGGAGAGAGATGCTGTGGGATTTGTGGGAGGCAGAGGCGGCAGCTGGTGCAAAGGTCCAGGGGCGAGTGGGAACGGGGAGTGTTCAAGGTGCAAAGGGAGAGCAGGGTGGCTAGGGTGAAGGTAAGTGGTAAAAGTAAAAGAGGTTGGAGGCACTTGAGGATTTGAAAGAAAATATAAATGCAGTAAGGAGAGAAACAGGAGATGCAAAGATGAACCAAACTGAATTCTGGAGCTGAGCATACAATATCTGAAGGGAGCCAGAGGGTGAAGTTTGAGTTCAATTCTCCTGTCGGGGGAACCATCAGAAGCATAAGGTTCTCTTTCAACATGAGACGCTGGGACATGAGTAGAAAAACTGCAGTGCTTGAACCACACGGAGGTTTGCTGGTTTCTATTGGCAGAAGTATTTAAGAGTTTCAGCTTAAAGACGAGTCACACAATTTCCTTTTAAAAAACCTAAGAGTGCTCCAAATTAGCTACCCTGTTCTTTGATTCCAAATGGCTGTCACATCAATAATATGCTACCTGAATTTTTGAAAACATAAATACATAATCTCTGTCTTTGAAGTAAATGTGATACTTTAATACTTAGAAAAAAAATTACCTCTTAAAAGAAACTCATGCCATTGTGACAGCATTCTTAAAAACGGGTATTTGAAATCCTCCCAAGCATATATACTTAGGGGACAAGACAACACCCTCTATAAAAGGATCTCAGTGGCCCTACTGTACAAGGGAAAGGACGGGACGGCACAATGGTTTAGAGTGTGGGCCACACTGGGTGTGTTCAAATTCCAGCTCTGTCACTTACTGGCTGTGCAACCTTGGTCAAGTCACTTAACTTCTGTGGATCTTTATTTCTTCCTTAATAAACTGGGCCTACATCAGGTTTGTGCTCAGCTTCTGAGGCATA